CCTGAAGAGTATTTTCCAGCTTGGATTCATTCTCTTTGCCATATCCTGGTACACCTATCAAACGTAGATTAGGTCTTTTCACATAGTCCCACATTTCTTGGAGACTTTGTTCATTCCTTTTTACCCTTTTTTCTCTATTCTTGCCTTCCTGTTTTATTTCATTGAGTTGATCTTCGACCTCTGATATCCTTTCTTCTGCTTGGTCAATTTGACTGTTGACACTTGTGCATGCTTCGCGAAGTTCTCGTGTTGTGTTTTTCAGCTCCATCAATTCACTTATATTCCTTTCTATTTTGTCCATTCTCGTTAGCATTTCGTCAAATCTTTTTTCAAGGTTCTTAGTTTCTTTGCATTGGGTTAGGACATGTTCTTGTAGTTCACAGAAGTTTCTTACTACCCACCTTCTGAAGTCTGATTCTGTCATTTCATCATACTCGTTCTCCATCCAACCTTGTTCCCTTGCTGGTGAGGAGTTGTGATCCCTTGCAGGAGGGGAGGTGTTCTGGTTTCGGGTGTTTTCATCCTTTTTGTGCTGGTTTCTTCCCATCTTTATGGATTTATCCACCTGTCGTCTTTGTAGTTGCTGGCTTTCAGATTGGGTCTCTGAGTGGACGTTCTGTTTGTTGATGATGAGGTTATTTCTGTTTCTTGGTTTTCCTTCTAACAGTCTGGCCCCTCTGCTGTAGGTCTGCTGAGGTCCACTCCAGGCCCTGCTTGCCTGGGATCATCTGCAGCAGCCTCTGTGCTTTCACTGGGAGCTGCAATCCTGTGCTGTTCCTAAATGGCCATCTTGGATCCACCCCCGAGATTGACTTTTCAAATTCAGCATAATCCTCTTGAGATCTGTCCAAAATATTGACTGTATTAATACTTTATTTCTTTTTTCCACACTGTCAAATAGTAGTTTTCCTTATGAAAATTTATTTTTAAATAACAAATAAAAATTATGGCTCACTTGTCCTACAATTTTTTTTGTTTATCTGACATAGCAGGGAGCAAATGTAAGCTCCAGGATGCTGTGAATTCCCCTGACAATGAATCACTCAATGCTCTGTTAACTTGACTGTACTTCCATAGTCGCACCACCCTTCACAGTGAAATTTATTTGACGGGGCTGGGTGTAATTCCAACACTTTGAGACACTGAGGCAGGAGGACTGCTTGAGTCCAAGAGTTCAAGGCCAGCCTGGGCATATGGGAAGACCTCATCTTTATTCAAAAAAAAAAAAAAAATAGAGAAGAAGAAAGAAAAAAAGAAAAAAAAAGAGATTTATTGTTTACAGTTGTTGCCCTGTGCGGTCAGTGAGTTGTGAAGAGCCTGTCTCCTGATTAAACACCTGTGAGTGGGGCTGCTCTAACGATAGTGGATTATCAGAACTTATTAACAGTAGCGTCACTAAAATTGGTATATAACTCCCCACTGCTAAATTTGACTAACTTAAAATAATTTTAAAGAAACCACCATGAGTGATATTTCAGGCCTGACCATAAGCAATTTTCAAAAGCGTTTCCTGGAAAGCCTCCTCTTCATAGAAGACCTGGAATATAATCAATGCTTTGCAATCTCTGACGAGAGTTTCAGGTGAGCCCTCAGTCCCCTCTAAGCTCTTCTGGTCTTTACACATTTTCATTTCTAGCCCAGGCATTTTCATTCTCAGGTCTTTATCTCAGGCCTTGGGCAGAATTTTCAAGTGCCTTATATCAAGGAGGAGAATGTGGAGTCCTAATTAGGGAAAAGGAGTCAGGCTGGCAGGACCAGGTAAAAACAAAAAGTAAAAAAAAGGAAATAAACTATAAACATGCCTTTTTTCATGTCTAGAAAATTTAAACAAAAGACAAAGCAGATAATTTACAGATCTACCTTTCTTTATCATCCTGGACATACAGCCCAGGATATACGACCCAGAACTTACAAACTTCCTGCTTACCATCAAGCACCTCAATTTATCAAACATCCCAGCTGACAAAATAATATGTTAGGCTCCCTGCTACCTCGGCCTTATCAATGAGCTCAAGTTTCATTCTATAAAATCCCCAGCAAGCCGTTGTTTTCTTGCAGTTAGCTTCTCTCATGCTAACTTGCTAATTGCCTTCCATGGAAAGAATTTTCCCACTTTCTCTAATAAATCTGCCTTTCTCTACCTACAACTGCCTTGGTAAATTCTTTTACCCCCACACCACTGGCCGTTGTTCCCCCATGACAGAAAAGGCAAACTCTAAAACACTTTTCTCTACACTGTCTTAGTATCCAGTATCTTACATTCCAGTTCCTCCTCCCTAGACCTCCTCCTGAGTTCAGGCTTCATAAAGCTGTGAAGCCCTTTGCTCAGAACTCCATCAATAGTCAGTCAGCCCCACCTGTGTGATGATCCATCTGCCCCTCAACTGGAATTCCATTCCATGGGGGAGGATGAAACAGGGAGGAGTTGGCATCTTCCTTGGTTTAGCTCTTGCTTGTACTTTTATATCAACTGATTAGAGGCTTCACTATTACTTTAATTTGGATCATTGTTCCTTTAATCTGTTACTCCTACACCTGGCAGCTCAGCTGTCTCTCTACATTAGCTGAGCTCCTGAGAAGCGTTTCATCAGAAGCAGTTATGTCTTTCTCATTTCATCATGATTAGTGCTTAGAAATAGCCAAGCATACATAGTAGTTGCTAAAAAATGGCAAACAAACATAGGCCATGGGAAGGCTTTTGCCAAAGGTAGTGGTTTTAGTGTTTGAGTCTCTGTAAGAGAGAGAATGTGTGGGGCTGTGCTGAATGCACCTGACTCAGAATTGCTGTGGCTTTGTGATGTGATCTTTGCTTTCAACCTTCCCTGTTTTCTCCCTAGCACTGGGCTCAGTTCCTCTCATTTCCATCATGGCATATGTTGACAGAGGCATCCAGCTACTCTGTCGGTCCTCGGGCTGGTTCCCCCGGCCCACAGCGAAGTGGAAAGGTCCACAAGGACAGGAATTGTCCACAGACTCCAGGACAAACATGGACATGCATGGCCTGTTTGATGTGGAGATCTCCCTAACCGTCCAAGAGAACGCTGGGACCATATCCTGTTCCATGCGGCCTGCTCATCTGAGCCAAGAGGTGGAATCCAGGGTACAGATAGGAGGTGAGTACGGAGAGGGTAAATAGGGAGAGGGAGGAGAAGAGGAGGAGGAGGGGTGAATGCTTCAGTAACTCAGAGCAAGGACAAGAGCCTCCATCTTGGGATTGTTGTTTTATCTTTCTTAGTTTAATGATTTATTTTAAACGTTTAAAATCAATGAGATGTAAAAATAAAGTTATAAACACTTGGTTAGGTGGAAATAGAATTGTTTACAATTCCAGAGGAGTAGAATTAAGTATTTCCATCACCTATGATTATGATGTATCACTGTGATGATTAATTTTTGTGTCCACTTGACTGGGTCATTATTTGCTCAGATTTGGTTAAATATTATTCAGGCTGTTTCTGTGAAGGTGTTTACACATAAGATTCACATTTAAATTGGTAAACTGTGTAAAGAGGGTTGCCCTCCATAATATGGATGGGTTTATCCAATCAGTTGAAGACCTGAATAGAACAAAAGGTTGACCCTCCCCTGAGTGACAGCATCATCTTGCATGATAGCCTTGAAACTGGGACACTGGCTCTTCCTGGCCACAGAGCAGGCTGCTGGCCTTCAGACTCAAACTGAACCACCGGCTCTTTTTATGTCTTGAGCCTGTGAACTCTGGGACAGGAGTGACACCATTGGCTCTTCTGGTTCTCAGGTCTTCTAACTTAAACTGAATCTAATCATTGGCTCTCTTGGGTCTCCAGATTGTGGACTCACTCATGAGTTGGGACCTAAAAGAGCCTCTATGATATATGCAAGCCAATTCTTTATACTAAACCTCTCTTTCTGTCTCTTCTCTTCCTCTCTCCGTTTATCTCCATCTTTCTCCTTCAAATACGTAAAAGAAACAGAATGTATATACACTTTCTGTTAGAAAGTGTACCATACTCCAAAAGAACTAGTTGATTTTTCTGATCTATACGGACCAGAAATTCAGACAATCCATGTCAAATGATATTTGTATATATATATGTATGTATATATACAACCTAATGGTTTTGTTACTCTGGAGAACTCTCACTAATATTGATTTGGTACCAAGAGTATTTCTAGGAAAAAAGAATTTTAGGGATGATTGAAAAGTCATCCCTAAAATTCTAGAATTCCCTAAAATTCTCTGAGCTGGGATTACTGTGCACACCTGTAGTCCCAGCTACTCAGGAGGCTGAGGTGAGAGGATGACTTCAGTCCACAAGTTTGAGACCAGCATAGGCAACATAGCAAGACCCCACCTTCAAACAAACAAAACAGAAAGAGCACTGAAAGTTCATTTGTGATCTAGCAATATAGATATGCAAAATATCACCATTTGCTACCCATAATTAACCACTGGTTGACTGTTATATGATATTTTTAAACATGTTTGTTAACCGAGTGAGTAAGATGAAGTTGGCTGGTTGGTCCTATTCTTGCTAGAAAAAGTGAGGAAACGGAGGAAAGAAAATATGTGCAGAGAAATTTGAATTCTGAGTTTCTTGGTGTTACATAACCTTAAAGCTTCCAAGAGTACCCTGAAAGAGACCCTTTTTTTCTGTAGCCACAGGGCTAAGATTGCTGGAAACCAGATTCAGAACTCATCCTGTGACTGGCTGAATGACAATGGAAATCCAAACCTGTTTCTCAGGATATCTGTTAATGTGAGGGGGCATTGATTAGGAAGAAATAAGATTCATAAAGTTGAAATGGGGATGTATGGGAAGACTCATGAAACTGGGAACATTGAGTCCCTAAATGCTGATGAATCTTTGCCGGTAAAAGTAGTCTCAGTCTCTCTGTGTCAACTGAAAATAGCCTCTCCATTTTCATCTCAAGGAATTAATCCTACATTGCCCAGAAAACTGTAATGGCCTCTCTCCTGAGGCAGTTGCCATGCAAAACAAGCTGATTCTGCTCAGGACCCACCTCTACCATCCCTCTTTGCTTCTAGACCTGTACCTAGGCTCAAGTTTCAGCAGGAACCTAAAGTTGGAAACAATGCATGACTCATTAGAAAGTGTACCACACTCCAAAAGAACTAGTTGATTTTTCTAATCTATACAGACCAGAAATCCAGAGAATCCATGTCAAATGATATTTAGAGTGTAAGGTGGTGGTACAAGGACATATTGCTGGATCAGACCAAATTTAATGGCCTCACTAATCAGAGATTCTTTATTTAATGTTGCAGCTCAGAATGTTAGAAAGGCCTCTATAGTTTGATTGGCTGAAACATGGATCAAAACGTGGCTCACAGAGAGTAACAGATAGGTATGCTGTTAGGAGCCTTTGCCCGGCCCCTATAGGTGAATCATGGCACAGGCCCTCAAGATTTAGGAGCAGAGCCCTGCCATTCTCTATGAATAATTACTGTTCTTTTGAAAAACACATCTTGGGCTAGACCTTAGGAGATACTGAACACTTAGTCATGGGCCACCAAGTTGCAATGTGACTTGAAACAGTAAGAATATAGAATATTTGAACAACAAATTAACAGACTCGATTTAATTGATATTCTTAGAAGGTTGCACCCACAACAAAGCATTGGAAGCACATGTAGAACATAAATTAACTCTCATCAGTCTCAAGCACATAAAATGGTTGACAAAAAGTTTTAAGAAAATGGTATTGTGATTTGGTTTTAGTGTTGTGTCTTCTCCAAAATCCATGTTGAAACTAAATCCCTAATGCATCACTATTAAGAGGTGGGCTTTTTAGGAGGTGATTAAGTCCTGAGGACTATGCCCATATAAATGTGTTAGTGCTTTATAAAAGGGTTTGAGGGGGTAAACTTACCACTTCCCCTCCTTCTGCCATGTGAGGGCACAGAATTCATCCCCTTCAGCAGACACAGCAACAAGGTGCCATCTTGAAACAGATGGAAGTCCTCATCAGATGCCAAACCTGTTGATACTTGATCTTGGACTTCCCAGCCTCCAGACTATGAGAAATATATTTCTATTGTTTATAAATGAGCCAGTCTGTGGTATTTTGTCATAGAAGTACAAATGGACAAAGACTGGTATGATTCAAACAATAATTTCTAATCACAATATAATTAAATTAAATAAGAAAAAGAAAATTTAATATTCATATATGTTTCAAACTTTAAAAACATACTTCAAAAATAACTAAGTTCATTGAAAAAGTCATAATAATTAAAAGTGCTATATGACTCAATGATAATGAAACTATACATACAAACTATCATACAACTATACCTTTAAGAAGTGACATTATTAGGATGGTAAAATAGGAGTTTTCAGTTCTCAAACTCCCACAGAAACACTAATTTTAACAACTACCATGAACAATGATACTTTTGTAGGAGTCTAGGTAGCCAGCTGAGTGGTTCCAACTGGCTGCTCAGGCAAAAAAGCCAAGTTCAGATGCATGGAAGTATAAGAACCGTTTCATTCTACCTGCATCACTACTCTTCCAGGGTAACTCAGTGCCAAGAGAGACTCCCTCAGACCACAGTTTTTGCCATGGGGAAAGCGAGAGCAAAGTGAGTGTCCAGATTCCCCAGGCTCATGGGATGCTGCCCAGGAAACCCTTTCCTGTCTCACTTAATGCAGAGCAGTGAGGGGACCAGTGTGGCTGAATCATCTAGGGGCAGCTAGGAGCAGGGAAAGAGGAGGGGGCTTATGGCAGCCAGTGCATGGACCTCAACAACAAGCAGCAGAACCTACTGGCCAGCTCCTGCATTCTACTAGGAGCCCAACTCACAACCTGCTGAGTCCTCAACCAGCTGATATGTGCCCCCAGCCCTCCACACACCACCCTCTGTGGCCAGAACCCCTTACTTCATCACAGGCAGGCATGTGCTTCCCTGAAGACTGGGCAGGGTAGTCCTGAGCCTCAGCAGGTGTTCATACAAACTTATGCAGTCAGAACACAGGTAGTAATCAGCTTGACTCTGCTGGATTGAGAGAAGGTGCACAATCTTGAATACTTTAGGGAATTGCTCTAGGGATAAATAAATGAAAGGCTCTCCGCAGCTAGCCTGCTTTGCAGGATTGAGAAAAGAAACTACTAAGACTTCCCCTCACCAAGAAGAAACAAGAAGAATAAAGCAGGTACATCCATAAAAAAGATCTGAGAGATTTCCAGAGTATCTAGCCAGGCTGACTGGTCAAGATCTTTCTCCACCAAAGTCTTCCAGTACAGACTGGAGGAGGAGTAACAGAAAGACAAAAAATACTGTCAAACAGAATTAAACAGCACATTAAAAGATTCATTTATCATGATTAAGTGAGCTTTATCCTTGGAACACAAGGATGGTTCAATGTATGCAAATCGATAAATGTGATACACTATCAGAAGGAACAACAAAAACCATATGATCACCTTAATAGATGCAGAAAAAGCATTTGACAACATTCAACACCCTTTCATGACAAAACCAACTTTCAACAAATTAGATATAGAAGAAATATAGCTCAATACAATAAAGGCCATATGTAACATGCACACAGAGTATATACCCAGTGGTGGTCTTAGTCCATTTTATGCTACCGTAGCAGAATACCTGAGATTGGATAATTGATAATGAACAGGGGTTTATTTGGCTCATGGTCCTGGAGGCTGGGAAGTCTAAGATCACAGGGTCACATCTGGTGAGGGCCTTCTAGCTGTGTAGTTCCATGGAGAAAGGTGGAAGGGCAAGAGAGCGAGAGAGAGGAAGAAAACTGCTTCTGCAATAATGGCATTAATTCACTCATGAAGGCAGGCTCCTCATGGCCTTGTTACCTCTTAAAAGTCCCACCTGTCAACACTATTGCATTGGGGATTAAGTTTTCAACACATAAACTTGGGGAATACATTGAAATCATAGTGATGATGAAAAATTTTTAAACAGCAGCATAATCTATGGAATGTAGCAAAAGCAGTTCTAAAAGTTTACAGCTATAAATGTCTATATTAAGAAAAAAGAAAGATCTTAAATGAACAACCTGTTTATACCACAAGAAATTAGAAAAAAAAGCCAAAACTTAGCAGAAGGAAGGAAAAAATAATAATTAGAGCAGAAATAAATGAAATAGAAAAACAATAAAAAGATCAATAAAACTGAATGTTGTTTAATTGAAAAGACAAACACAACTGACAAACCTTTACTTAGATTAACCAAAAAAAAAAAGAGCTGACTCAAATAAATTATAAATAAAAGATGATACATTACAACTGGTACCACAGAAATTTAAAATGTCATGAGACTATCTCAGTTTCCCCTATCCACGGGGGTTACATTCCAAGATCCCCAGTGAATGCCAGAAACCACGGATAGTACCAAACCCTATAATTGCTATTTTTCATGTCTCAAATGGAACAGAGCAGGATAATAGAGATTTCATCATGCTGCTCAGAATGGTGTGCAATTCAAAACTTACAAATTGTTTATTTCTGAAACTTTTCATTCAATATTTTTGGGCCAAAATTGATCACAAGTAACTGAAATTATGAAAAGTGAAACCAAAGATAATGTTGGACTACAGCACTATGAAAAATTATAGGCCAACAAATTGGATAACCTAGCAGAAATGGATACATTCCTAGAAACTTACAACCTATAAAAACTGAATCAGAATAATTTTTAAAAAAATTCCAGACCAGTAATGAATTAGGAATAAAATTGATAATCAAAATCTTCCCAACAAAGAAAGTTCCATGACCAGATGGCTCTGCTGATGAATTCCACAAAATATTTAAAGAAAAATTAATGCCAAGACTTTTCAAACTCATGCAAGAAATTAAAGAGGTGGGACTAATTCCAAACTCATGTTATGAGGCCACAATTACCCTGATACAAAAACCACATAAGAACACCACAAAAAAGAAGAGAATTACAAGCCAATGTCCCTTATAAACATAGATGCAAACATTTCCAACAAATATTAGCCAAGCAAATTTATCATAAAAAGAATCATTACAAAATACATTAAAAGAAACATTAGGCCAGGTGCAGTGGCTCATGCCTGTAATTCCAACACTTTGGGAGTCCCAGGCAGGTGGATCACAAGGTCAAGAGATTGAGACTATCCTGTCCAACATGGCGAAACCCCGTCTCTACTAAAAGTAAAAATTAGCTGGGTATGGTGGTGCCCCGTGCCTGTAGTCCTAACTACTCTGGAGCTGAGGCAGGAGAATTGCTTGAACCCAGGAGGCAGAGGTTGCAGTGAGCCAAGTTTGGGCTACTACACTCCAGCCTGGTGACAGAGCAAGACTCCATTAAAAAAAAAAAAAAAAAAAAGAAAGAAAGATTAAAGGAATCCCCATAATCAAGTGGGATTTATCTCTGGGATGCAAGAATGTTTCAACACATGCAAATAAATATAATATATGACATTAACAGAATGAAGAACAACTAATTTGTAATTAGGTTAATAAACGCAGAGAAGGCATTTGACAATATTCAGCAATATTCCATCAACAGATTAGGTAACAAAAGAATGTACTTCAACATAATAAAGGTCATATATGTGTCTACAAAAAGAGTCAAACTCTATAAAACATTAAAATAGGTTTATTCTGGGCCAAATATGAGTGACCAAGGCCCAAGACATAGTCTTAACAGGTCCTGAGAATATGTGCCCAAGGTGGTTGAGTTACAGCTTGATTTTATGTTTTAAGGGGACAGAAGTTACGACAGACATCAATCAAATATGTAAGGTGTATATTGGTTTGGTCTAGAAAGGCAGGACAACTTGAAGTGAGGGCTTCTAAGTCATAGGTGATTCGAAGATTTTCTGGTTGGCAATGGTTGTGAGTTAAGTTATTATTTAAAAGACCTGAAATCCATAGAAAAGAGTGTCTGGGTTAGGATAGGGGGTTGTGGAGACCGAGGTTCTCATATGCAGATGAAGTCTCATAGGTGGCCACTCTTAGAGGCAAATAGATGGCAAATATTTCATATTGAGATCTTTAAAAATTGCTAGACTCTCAGCTAATCTCTTCAGAATAAAAAAAAGACCTGGAAAGGGACGGGGATTCTCTACAGAATGCACATTTCCCCCACAAGAGGCAGCTTTACCAGGTTGTTTCAAAATATGTTAAAGAAGTATGTTTTGGGGTAAAATATTTTAATTCCTTTCAGGGCCTGCTATCTGTCATGTGATGCTATACAATAGGCAGGTTGGAATTTGGTATCTTATTTGCCACAAAGAGTCTGTTTTTCCTCTTAAGATCTCCGTTGTAATGTTAATGATACTCAGTTGTGCCTGAACTCCAAAGGGAGGAGGATATTATGAGGTATGTCCAACCTCACCTTTCCATCATGGCCTGGACTAGTCTTTTTTTTTCCCATTTATTTATTTTATTGCATTTTAGGTTTTGGGGTACATGTGAAGAACATGCAAAATTGTTGCATAGGAACACACGTGGCAGTGTGATTTGCTGCCTTCCTCCCCATCACCTACATCTGGCATTTCTCCCCTTGCTATCTCTCCCCACCTTCCCACCCCCCCCCTCCCCCCCCTCTTTCCCCCCAACTGACCCCAGTGTGTAGTGCTCCCCTCCCTGTGTCCATGTGTTCTCATTGTTCAACACCTGCCTATGAGTGAGAACATGCGGTGTTTGATCTTCTGCTCTTCTGTCAGTTTGCTGAGAATGATGGTTTCCAGGTTCATCCATGTCCCTACAAAGGACCCAAACTCATCCTTTTTGATGGCTGCATAATATTCCATAGTGTATATGTGCCACATTTTCCCTATCCAGTCTATCGTCGATGGGCATTTGGGTTGGTTCCAGGTCTTTGCTATTGTAAACAGTGCTGCAATGAACATTCGTGTGCACGTGTCCTTATAGTACAACAATTTGTAATCCTTTGGATATATACCCAGTAATGGGATTGCTGGGTCAAATGGAATTTCTATTTCTAGGTCCTTGAGGAATCGCCACACTGTCTTCCACAATGGTTGAACTAATTTACACTCCCACCAACAGTGCAAAAGTGTTCCTATTTCTCCACATCCTCTCCAGCATCTGTTGTCTCCAGATTTTTTAATGATCGCCATTCTAACTGGCGTGAGATGGTATCTCAATGTAGTTTTGATTTGCATCTCTCTGATGACCAGTGATGATGAGTATTTTTTCATATGTTTGTTGGCCTCACGTATGTCTTCTTTTGTAAAGTGTCTGTTCATATCCTTTGCCCACTTTTGAATGGGCTTGTTAGTTTTTTTCTTGTAAATCTGTTTTTGTTCTTTGTAAATTCTGGATATCAGCCCTTTGTCAGATGGGTAAACTGCAAAAATTTTTTCCCAATCTGTTGGTTGCCGATTCATTCTAATGACTGTTTCTTTTGCTGTGCAGAAGCTGTGGAGTTTGATTAGGTCCCATTTGTCTATTTTGGCTTTTGTTGTCAATGCTTTTGGTGTTTTGGTCATGAAGTCCTTGCCTACCCCTATGTCCTGAATGGTTTTGCCTAGATTTTCTTCTAGGGTTTTTATGGTGTTAGGTCTTATGTTTAAGTCTTTAATCCATCTGGAGTTAATTTTAGTGTAAGGTGTCAGGAAGGGGTCCAGTTTCTGCTTTCTGCACATGGCTAGCCAGCTTTCCCAACACCATTTATTGAACAGGGAAGCCTTTCCCAATTGCTTACTTTTGTCTGGTTTGTCAAAGATCAGATGGTTGTAGATATGTTGTGTTGCCTCCGAGACCTCTGTTCTGTTCCATTGGTCTATATCTCTGTTTTGGTACCAGTACCATGCTGTTTTGATTACTGTAGCCTTGTAGTATAGTTTGAAGTCCGGTAGTGTGATGCCCCCCGCTTTGTTCTTTTTGCTTAGAATTGACTTGGCTATGTGACCTCTCTTTTGGTTCCATATGAAGTTTAAGGTGGTTTCTTCCAGCTCTGCGAAGAAGGTCATTGGTAGCTTGATGGGGATAGCATTGAATCTGTAGATTGCTTTGGGCAGTATGGCCATTTTCAAGATATTGATTCTTCCTAACCATGAACATGGAATGTTTCTTCATCTGTTTGTGTCCTCTCTTATTTCGTTGAGCAGTGGCTTGTAGTTCTCCTTGAAGAGGTCCTTTACGTTCCTTGTTAGTTGTATTCCTAGGTATTTTATTCTCTTTGTGGCAATTGTGAATGGAAGTTTGTTCTTGATTTGGCTCTCTTTAAGTCTGTTATTGGTGTATAGGAATGCATGTGATTTTTGCACATTGATTTTGTATCCTGAGACTTTGCTGAACTTGCTTATCAGTTTCAGGAGGTTTCGGGCTGAGACGATGGGGTCTTCTAGATATACAATCATGTCGTCTGCAAATAGAGACAATTTGACTTCCTCCTTTCCTATTTGAATGCCCTTTATTTCTTTTTCTTGCCTGATTGCTCTGGCTAGAACTTCTAATACTATATTGAATAGCAGTGGTGAGAGAGAGCATCCCTGTCTGGTGCCACATTTCAAGGGGAATGCTTCCAGTTTTTGCCCATTCAGTATGATATTGGCTGTTGGTTTGTCATAAATAGCTTTTATTATATTGAGATACGATCGATACCTAGCTTATTGAGGGTTTTTAGCATAAAGGGCTGTTGAATTTTGTCAAATGCCTCCTCTGCATCTATTGAGATAATCATGTGGTTTTTGTCTTTGGTTTTGTTTATGTGGTGAATTACGTTTATAGACTTGCGTATGTTGAACCAGCCTTGCATCCCCGGGATGAAGCCTACTTGATCATGGTGGATAAGCTTTTTGATGTGCTGTTGCAATCGGCTTGTCAGTATTTTATTGAAGATTTTTGCATCCATGTTCATCATGGATATTGGCCTGAAGTTTTCTTTTCTTGTTGAGTCTCTGCCGGGTTTTGGAATCAGGATGATGTTGGTCTCATAAAGTGATTTGGGGAGAATTCCCTCTTTTTGTATTGTTTGGAATCGTTTCAGAAGAAATGGTACCAGCTCCTCTTTGTATGTCTGGTAGAATTCAGCTGTGAACCCATCTGGACCTGGACTTTTTTTGGGTGGTAAGCTCTTAATTGCTGCCTCAACTTCAGACCTTGTTATGGGTCTGTTCAGGGTTTTGGCTTCTTCCTGGTTTAGGCTTGGGAAGAGGCAAGTGTCCAGGAATTTATCCATTTCTTCCAGGTTTATTAGTTTGTGTGCGTAGAGTTGTTTGTAATAATCTCTGATGATGGTTTGAATTTCTGTGGAATCTGTGGTGATATCCCCTTTATCGTTTTTTATTGCATCAATTTGGTTATTCTCTCTTTTCTTTTTTATTAATCTGGCTAGTGGTCTGTCTATTTTGTTGATCTTTTCAAAAAACCAGCTCCTGGATTTATTGATTTTTTGAAGGGTTTTTTGTGCCTCTATCTCCTTCAGTTCTGCTCTGATCTTAGCTATTTCTTGTCTTCTGCTAGACTTTGAGGTTTTTTGATCTTGCTCCTCTAGCTCTTTCAGTTTTGATGAGAGGGTGTCAATTTTTGATCTCTCCTTGCTTCTCATGTGGGCACTTATTGCTATATATTTTCCTCTAGAGACTGCTTTAAATGTGTCCCAGAGATTCTGGTATGTCGTGTCTTCATTCTCGTTGCTTTCGAAGAACATCTTTATTTCTGTCTTCATTTCATTGTTTATCCAGTCAACATTCAAGAACAAGTCGTTCAGTTTCCATGAAGC